CGACCCCCTGCCATTTGAGAAAGTTTTAATATCTTGTAAATGGTCGAGATCCCAACCCCTAAACCATATATATTCTGGTTTGTCATTCTAAGATGGTTTGAATGATATACAGGGTTAGTCCCCAGGGGTCATCCCGACCCCCTGCCATTTGAGAAAGTTCTAATATCTTGTAAATGGTCGAGATTCCCATCCTTAAACCATATATATTCTGGTTTGTCATGCTAAGATGGTTTGAGCGATATACAGGGTTAGTCCCAATGGGTCATCCCGACCCCCTGCCATTTGAGAAAGTTCTAATATCTTGTAAATGGTCGAGATCCCCACCCCTAAACCATATATATTCTGGTTTGTCATGATAAAGCACATCAAATGAAATACAGGGTTAGTCCTCAGGGGTCACCCCCACCCCCTGCCATTTAAGAAAGTTCTAATGTAAGTGGTTAAGATCCCCACCCCTAAACCATATATATTCTGGTTTGTCATGCTATGAAGGTTTGAATGATATACAGGGTTAGTCCCCAGGGGTCATCCCGACCCCCTGCCATTTGAGAAAGTTCTAATATCTTGTAAATGGTCGAGATCCCCACCCCTAAACCATATATATTCTGGTTTGTCATGATAAAGCACATGAAATGAAATACAGGGTTAGTCCCCAGGGGTCACCCCCACCCCCTGCCATTTAAGAAAGTTCTAATATCTTGTAAGTGGTCAAGATCCCCACCCCTAAACCATATATATTCTGGTTTGCCATGCGAAGATGGTTTGAATGATATACAGGGTTAGTCCCCAGGGGTCACCCCCACCCCCTGCTATTTAAGAAAGTTCTAATATCTTGTAAGTGGTCAAGATCCCCACCCCTAAACCATATATATTCTGGTTTGCCATGCGAAGATGGTTTAAATGATATACAGGGTTAGTCCCCAGGGGTCATCCCGACCTCCTGCCATTTGAGAAAGTTCTAATATCTTGAAAATGGTCGAGATCCCCACCCCTAAACCATATTTATTCCTGTTCATCATGTCTCGAACATTTGAATGACGTATACGGTCAGTCCCCACTGGGTTCCCCCCACCCCCAATGTTCTAATATCTTGTAAATGGTCGAGATCCCCACCCCTAGACCATATATATTCCTGTTCGTCGTTTCTCGAACATTTGAATGATGTATAGGGTCAGTCCCCAGGGGTTCCCCCCACCCCCAATGTTCTAGTATCTTGTAAATGGTCGAGATCCCCACCCCTAAACCATATATATTCTGGTTTGTCATGCCAAGATGATTTGAATGATATACAGGGTTATTCCCCAGGCATCACTAATGCATTAACTTTACTGGACCAAACCAATTTTCACTGGACTTTGTTCAATGTCAGGCGACACTGGGAATTACGAATTATGGGAGCTTCGTTTGGGAGACTTCGTAACAGCATCCTGTTACAATCATTTCTTGTTTGAGACTGAATTAAAGATAATCAGCTTATAAACTTTACTTACTTGTTTATGCTTCAGCAGTAAACTCACATTTTCACTAACAACACAAAGTAATATAATCAAACAAAGACCATACCTAGATATCATTAGTTAAAAACTTTGCCAAAACATTGCATACATGGTCCCTTTTGGGTTTTTAGATATCATACCTTTAAACAGTTACACCTGATGAGTGCTTTGGAAGTGTTAGCCTTTTCTGATTTTTTATAAATTCAATTTCAAAATTCAAGTTCAATTTAAATTGGACCTTTTAAGAATAAAGGAGGACCTTTCAGTCTGTTTGGTCAAAGGTCCTGGACCTTCCATTGCCTAAAGTAAATTTGAACCCCTGTAATAAAATAAAAGAATGTTGTTTAATGTATGCAAAACATTTTGTATGCCTGTTGTGGCAGTTTCTTATGTTTTTCATATTAATTTGTTTCATCATTTTTACGTTTTGTTTTGTTTTGGACCTTTATTGCGCCTCTTGGCTGACCACATTTGTTAAAGTTAGCAGCAGGAGACTTTAAATGCATACTATATGTTTAATGCTTAATGTAATCTGTACACCTGTGTTGTATAGAAGAAAGGTGTTTGGCAGGATACAAGATTTTGGCAACTTCGTTATCAGTTTAAGTTCATTGAGAATTTTAAACTTGTTTACTGTTAATATTGTTTCCTAATATTTATTGTGGTCCTGGCATATCTGGCTGATTTTTTTTTTTTTGGCCAATTTTGTAAAAAATGTTGGTCTACCTGGATTTCATGGTGTTTTGGTAGGAAACATATTTTCTTTTCTTATTCAATAGAACTTTGTACATCTACACATTTATTTATAAGGTTAATCCAGGGTTGTTATTGGCTTTGAACTAGCTGTCAGTAACTGCGAGTACTCTCAGATCTGTACTTAGTGTCTTTTTGTTGTGGGAATGTATAAATACCCGTCCACGTCCACTCTGTGTTTTTGTTAGATGTATTTCTATTTGTATCCATCTGATGAGTTCAGCCTTTTTCAACTGATTTTTATAGTTTGTTCTTATGTTGTACTGTTACACCACTGTCCCAGGTTAGGGGGAGGGTTGAGCGCTCACAAACATGTTTAAAACTGCCACATTCTTTATGTGTCTGTCCCAAGTCAGGAGCCTGTATTTCAGTGGTTGTCGTTGATTCATGTCTGTCATATTTGTTTTTCGTAAATTGTTTTGTTATAAATTAGGCTTTAGTTTTCTCAATTGAATTGTTTCATTTTTTTCATGTCGAGGCCTTTTATAGCTGACCATACGGTATGGGTTTTTCTCATTGTTTAAGGCCTGTACGGCATACCTGCCAACCTCTGAAACCTTCAAAGAGGGAGATCTCCCCCTCAGCTATGACAGCTGAGGGGGAGATTTTGCACGAATGACATTTTCAAGTTAAATATAAGACTTGTTTATGTATTCATCTACACAACACCAATAAGAGTTAATAAATATGCTTTATTTCTTCAATTCATGGTTATAATCTATACAACTATCATTACTAGGTATTTTTTTTTTTCCTTTTTCAATACCTCTGAGTCTCATAATTGACAACATTCTATATTTTGGTTTTGTTGTTAGTCTCACACTAAGCATGCTTTCAAACATCGTACAGACCACCAGAAGAAACCAAAAAGTTGATTGAACATGATGTGCAAAATGATGATTCATTGCCAAGTGAACTTGGTCGTAAAAATTGAAAATCTTTCATTCAATCTGCTTGACATTTCGATTTACAGTTATCTATTTCTTCTTTTTTATACTGCCGCTTGGTCCAGACAAAGACCTCTATCTTGTTGGAGTTGACATAGCAGAAATGAATTTATATTACTTATAAATCGAACATAAAAACTACTGACCAAAGTTTTCAAAATTTATGATCTCCGATTGTTTAATTATTTCTAATGACCATGATGACAGTAATGAAAAAGCCAGAGAATTATGCACACGGGTCATTCCAGGTAAAAATATCCGAAAGCGGGAGATTCTATACTCCCACTCTGGGGGCAGACCGTCAAGCGGGAGATTTCTGGAATTTCAACATTTGCGTGGGAGACTCTCGCTCAGAACAGGAGGGTTGGCAGGTATGCTGTACGGTTGCCTATAATTGCTTACATCCACTTCATTTGAACTTTGGTGGATAGTTGTCTTATAGGCAATCATACCACTTCTCCTTATTTTTACATCGCATGTGACCTTGAGAGGTCATACTGGTGTTATGTTGCTGCAGAAATTTCCTTGCCGTTTGACTGATAACAGAACGTATTTTGTATAATTACACGGATATTATCGAGTGCAAAATAACATTCCTTATCGCTTGTTATATATTAATTTCATCAATAAATATTCATGAAAATAGTTTTTAGGAACATAGACAAATGTATGAAAATGTTTGTCGTGAGAAATATATATATCAATAACAAATCATGGATACCGAAAATTTGTGTTTGCGCATGCAGAAGAATATCTCGAGAACGTTTTGCAACAAAAGCAGGAAAATATGAACGCCTACTCAAATCCAATCTATTAGAAAAACGAATTATTACAGATGAGTGTCCACCATGCACTTGCACTGCACTATCATTTATTAAATACAATAGTAGAATAGAATGATATATAAATGGATGAAAATTTGCCTGTAGAGTTATTAAGATGATCTGCTATATATATAACTGGTATACAAATATTAATATAATAAATAACAACAAACCAGAGTATACTGATAACAAATGATTATATCACTACAATATAATAATTACGGATGAGGTTGAATTCCCTGTCATTTATTCATCATCACACAGGAACTTGTCTCAGAAAAAAATATATCTATGTACCTTAACCTCACTTTCAGGTATAGAGATGTGATTTTTTTTTCTGAGACAAGTGCTTGTGACCATCCACAAGAACTTGCAGTCATCCGATGTTCAGTACTTCAGTACTTTGATGATATTATATGAATATGGAGTGGGTTTTAAAAAGATTTTTGTCTGACCAATAAAAACTCAACTTCTATAAAAATTCAACTTCTTGATTAAAAGTATATTATCATGAAAAGAATGTTAAGATTCCCACAGAAATACCTTTCATTCTTACTATAGAACAAAACATACTATATTCTGGAAAAAAAATAGTCAACCAACTTTTTTGTGATAACTGTAGATACTGCCTTTTTTATTAGTTACAAATATTGAATATAAGTTCTTGTTAAATCTCAAACTGACATTTATTTCAATAGATCAAATTGATTTAAATCTAATTTAATCTTTTAGTCCTGGTGTGCTTGAAACTATGTTGAAATACAAGTTATAAATATGCTGTTTTTAAAAGGATATAACATGGTTTTGTATGTTACACTATGAAACTATATTAAATTTTTAATATTGTTGTCATGGTGATAATCACACACTGCCCCAATACAGTGTTTGCCACAAATAAATGCATACATCTTTGTACAGATATGCATACATTATAAACAATTGTTTTTAAGTTATTTTGATTCAGTACATTTTTATTACAGAATTGGACCCTAGGTTATCGTGGTTGGTTTGGACAGCTATGTTTGGATCTCTGACTTTAGTAATCACTGTTGGAGTGAACCCTTCAGCCATTAGAACACTTATAGCATCAACTATTCTAAGATTTATATTTTCTTTTGGACTTGAGCCAACATTATGGCTGTTAGGTGCCTTAAATGTAAGTTGATATGAATGAAAATTGAATGCATGTATTTTTATTGTTAATATACTACTGCTATCATTAATGTAGTAAAAGTAATCAGAATGCAAATTTTTAAGCCCTGTTTACAGTAGAAGGGGGCATTATGTTTTCCAGTCTGTGCATCTGTCCTGTATTTTGTTATAGTTTTCATTTTTAAAGTAGTTTACCATGGAGTTGCGGTCACATCAACTTGAAACTTTGTACATAAATTATGTTTAATATGATGCGAGTTTTAAAAAAAATGCCATAGTATGATTTTTACCCATATTTAAAGGTTCACTGATCAATGAAATATTTCAGGTTAAAGTTGTTGTTTAAAGGTAGTATATCATGAAGGTGTGGTCACATCAACTTGAAACTTAGTACACATGTTCCTTATGATGTTAACTTAATAAGATAATTGCCAAATAAGGCCTTTCACCCAAATCTCTGGGTTAAATGATAATGAAGGTTGCACTTCTGTAAATATAGACAATGCAATTTCCCATAGGAACTCCCTTTGCGGCTAAAGCTGTGCTACTTTTACTATGAAGTTTCGTAAAAAATTATATCCTAGAACGGAAAGCTGATACGCACTACTTTTTTATTCAAAGGTCAAAACATAGGGCTGTGCGGCATATTTTCCACATTTATATGCCCCGAACTTCTAAGAGTTTAAACTTATACTAAAATTCAGTACTATCCCTACCTCCCCTTTAGGTGTCCCTCAGAATTCAATTATCGCCGCTACCATCTCTTTTTATACTGGTAACATTCCCAAGTTATTTCTCTATGAGATGAAACATAGAGATCATATCTGGGAACCAGTACGTAAACAAAATTAAATATCTATGAATATTATATATCTCCCCAGAAGAGGCGTGGCTTGTGAAACAGCTGTATTTACAAAGTGCAACCTATAGGTGATAGTGTGAATAGGGATTGATATATACAGTATTATATTATTGTGGTGTGCATTGGTTGTAAAGATGAGTTCAACATTCATACTTTAAAATTGGTAAATTTTTAATGAACAGATAACATTGCTACCATCCTCAAATATTTGAATAATTAAATATAGTTTCACTGTTTGAATTTAAACTATTACATTTAAGATTTATATAATGTAATTGTAATATATTATCAAAAACTTATTAATTGAAACATTATATATTTTATGTACACATTTTTATTTTTAGGTGATAAATAAAGGAATATTTTTGATAAGTTTGATGGGAAATAGAGGTACATTTACAAAACCATGGCAGCAAGTGTTAACAGATTTTGAGTTTATGTACCATATCTTGTACCTACTTTTATGTGTATTTGGTTTATGCGTTCATGAGTTTGCCTATAGTCTTTTGGTAAGTAATCAGTCTAGTTCCTTTTAAAAGAATAATACAAATCATTATGCTTTTTGATTTTCTTATGTTTGAAATACTAATATACGAGATTATCCATATCACTTTAAAATAGGGCTGTTATGTACAAATTTTTAAAGTTCAAAGTTTAAACTGCTTAACTAAGAGTATTTACACAACAACCACTGAACTACAGGGTCCAGACTTGGGACAGACACATAAAGAAGGTGGCGGGGTTAAACATGTTTGTGAGTGCTCAACCCTCCCCCTAACATGGAACAGTGGTGTAATAGCACAACATAAGAACAAACTATAAAAATCAGTTGAAAAAAGGCTGACTGTCTGAAACTTTTCTGGTTCATTTGTTCCTACTCATAGATTTATTAGTTTAAAACTTAAAATTTAATTAAGATTGGCTAAATTAACAGGCACGAGCTTCATGATAATTGAAAGGTACTACCCAGACTTATTTTCAGTTTAATGATGTGGTATACTGTGAAAGTACTTTTATTCGTGGGTATCAATTTTCGTGGTTTAAGTAAAAATTACATGTTTGTGGGTTCTCAAAAAGTCGTGTTAAGATATTAATAAAAAGTTTTAAAGAACAAAAAAAGTGCTGTTTCGACCGCAAAAATTGAAAATTTTTTTGTCGTATATTGGTATGACGTTGGCGTCGTCGTCGTCGTCGTCGTCCGGCGTCGTCTGGCGTCGTCCGAAGACACATTGGTTTTCGCACTCTAACTTTAGTTTAAGTGAATGGATCTCCATGAAATTTTACCATAAGGTTCAATACCATGAAAGGAAGGTTGGGATTGATTTTGGGGGTTATGGTACCAACAGTTAAGGAATTAGGGGCCAAAAAGGGGCCAACAATAAGCATTTTTGTAACTTCCAGACAATAACTTGTGTGTAAGTGTATGGATCTCTCTGACATTGTACCACAAGGTTCCATATCACAAAGGGAAGGCTGTAATTGATTTTGGGGGTAATTGCCTCAAAATGTTAGGAATTAGGGGCCAAAAAAGGGGCAAAAAACAAGCATTTTTCTAGTTTCATGACAATAACTTGTGTGTAAGTGTTTGGATATTTCTGAAATTGTACTACAAGGTTCCATATCACAAAGGGAAAGCTGGAATTGAGTTTGGGGGTAATTGCCCGAAATGTTTAGGAATTGGGGGCCAAAAAGGGGCCAAAAATAAGCATTTTTCTAGTTTCCAGACAATAACTTGTGTTCAAGTGTATGGATCTCTCTGAAATTGTACTGCAAGGTACCATACCACAAAGGGAAGGCTGAGATTGAGTTTGGGGGTGATGAATCATAAGGGGGTTCAAAAAATTTTGGGGGGGGATTTTTTTTTTCTTTTTTTTTTCTTTTTTTCCTTTTTTTTTTCTTTTAGAATTTTCCATTTTAAGTTGGTTATTTCTGATTTATATTTAAAAGCAAATAATAATGATATGGTAGGAGATACACACCAAACAGGATGTGTAAATTATTATATAATAAGTATTGTGCAATAGCAAGAAATTTTCAATTGCACAGTATTGCACAATAGCAAGAAATCTTCAATTGCACAGTATTGCGCAATAGCAAGAAATCTTCAATTGCACAGTATTGCGCAATAGCAAGAAATATCCAATAGCACAATATTGCGTAATAGCAAGAAACTGTCAATTGTACAGTATTGCGCAATAGCAAGAAATAATCAATTGCTCAGTATTGTGCAAAAGAAGATACTTCGTATAAATTGCTTATTTCTTGATCAATTTCAATGGGGTTTTATTCTTGAATTCTTGGGGTTCTTTAATATGCTGAATCTAACCGTGTATTAAGTTTTTGGATTTTGGGCCCCGTTTTTAAATTGGTCCACATTGAGGTCCAAAGGGTCCAAAATTTAACTTTGTTTGATTTCATCAAAAATTGAATTATTGGGGTTCTTTGATATGCCGAATCTAACCGTGTATTTAGATTCTTAATTTTTGGTTCTGTTTTCAAATTGGTCTACATAAAGGTCCAAAGGGTCCAAAATTAAACTTAGTTTGATTTCAACAAAAATTGAATATATGGGGTTCTTTGATATGCTGAATCTAACCATGTATTTAGATTTTTGATTATGGGCCCAGTTTTCAAGTTGGTCTAAATCGGGGTCCAAAATTAAACTTTGTTTGATTTCAACAAAAATTGAATATATGGGGTTCTTTGATATGCTGAATCTAACCATGTATTTAGATTTTTGATTATGGGCCCAGTTTTCAAGTTGGTCCAAATCGGGGTCCAAAATTAAACTTTGTTTGATTTCAACAAAAATTGAATATATGGGGTTCTTTGATATGCTGAATCTAACCATGTATTTAGATTTTTGATTGTTGGGCCCCGTTATCAACTTTGTCCACATTGAGATCAAAAGGGTCCAAAATTAAACTTTGTTTGATTTCATCAAAAATTGAATATATGGGGTTCTTTGATATGCTGAATCTAACCATGTATTTAGATTTTTGATTATGGGCCCAGTTTTCAAGTTGGTCCAAATCGGGGTCCAAAATTTAACTTTGTTTGATTTCAACAAAAATTGAATATATGGGGTTCTTTGATATGCTGAATCTAACCATGTATTTAGATTTTTGATTATGGGCCCAGTTTTCAAGTTGGTCCAAATCGGGGTCCAAAATTAAACTTTGTTTGATTTCAACAAAAATTGAATATATGGGGTTCTTTGATATGCTGAATCTAACCATGTATTTAGATTTTTGATTATGGGCCCAGTTTTCAAGTTGGTCCAAATCGGGGTCCAAAATTAAACTTTGTTTGATTTCAACAAAAATTGAATATATGGGGTTCTGTAATATGCTGAATCTAACCGTGTATTAAGTTTTTGGATTTTGGGCCCCGTTTTTAAATTGGTCCACATTGAAGTCCAAAGGGTCCAAAATTTAACTTTGTTTGATTTCATCAAAAATTGAATTATTGGGGTTCTTTGATATGCCGAATCTAACCGTGTATTTAGATTCTTAATTTTTGGTTCCGTTTTCAAATTGGTCTACATAAAGGTCCAAAGGGTCCAAAATAAAACTTAGTTTGATTTTAACAAAAATTGAATTTTTAGGGTTCTTTGATATGCTGAATCTAAACATGTATTTAGATTTTTGATTATGGGCCCAGTTTTCAAGTTGGTCCAAATCGGGGTCCAAAATTAAACTTTGTTTGATTTCAACAAAAATTGAATATATGGGGTTCTTTGATATGCTGAATCTAACCATGTATTTAGATTTTTGATTTTTGGGCCCTGTTATCATTTTTGTCCACATTGAGATCAAAAGGGTCCAAAATTAAACTTTGTTTGATTTCATCAAAAATTGAATTCTTGGGGTTCTTTGATATGCTGAATCTAACCATGTATTTAGATTTTGGATATTGGACCATAATAGGTGAATGTCCAATTTAAAATTTTTAAGTTCTTAGACCACATTCATTCTGTGTCAGAAACCTATGCTGTGTCAAATATTTAATCACAATCCAAATTCAGAGCTGTATCAAGCTTGAATGTTGTGTCCATACTTGCCCCAACTGTTCAGGGTTCGACCTCTGCGGTCGTATCAAGCTGCGCCCTGCGGAGCATTTTATTAGTTATTGCCCTTGTACCTTGGATAAATAAAATATGTACAATGTGGGAGACATTGGAACTCTGTTCTTTTATCATGTCTTGATTTGGATAACAGTACTAGTTGTCATATTTAGTTGTACACTTAAATTCGTGGATAAAGCTATCCACGAAAACCACGAAAACTGGTAACCCACGAATAAAAGTACTTTCACGGCAGGGCTTCCAAAATTATTTTTAGCCAGCCGGACATTTTATATATTATCCCAATTTTAATCCCTTAAGACAAAATAAACAAAAGGCAATTATGGTAATCAGTTGCCAAGTTGGCCATCCCAATGATTGACATTAAAAAAAAAAGGATATTAAACTTTCTTTGATTCAAATTTGAAGTTCTGACGTAAACTGTTAAATTGACAGTGCATCATTCGAAGTGTGCAACATCAGCGTACTTATAGACTCTTTATTTGTGCAAAATAACGTTGTCAAAAACTTTACTTTCGTTTTCAAATCTAATATAGCGGATGTTATCTTGACAATGGTAAAACATGGACCAGAGACGGATACGTAAATTCCGTGTACGTTTGCAAAGCATGAATGAGTGTATGTAGCTCTTTCTACGTTATTTCTTCAAGAAAATATTTGAAATAAACGTGAGATAAAGGTATCAATGGCAATTTAAGCATTTTTTGGAGAAATTAGGATGCATAATTAAATTTCACACCTTCGCACATGCGCACACGTGTACTGTTCAAACAGAGACATGTCTCTGGTTCAAGGGGTAAATTCAGTAAAAAATCTCCCATTGACTGTAATGCTAATCTATGTCTTGAATTAAATTTATACCTGATTTACCTTTAGAAATTAGAAAATTTCATATATCATTCATGAAAGTACAAATGTAGCCCTATCATTTGCAACAATAAAAACATAAGGTCATGCGGCATTTTTGGGCATTCACATGGCCTTGTTTACAAACACTGTAGATTCGCACTTAATTCCTTCACTGACCCCCATTACTTTTCAACCCTGTAGTAAAAAAATTTAGTACATTCAGCATTTATTTTTTATTTTTTTTCATCCATCTATCAAAAAATATTTATTACAAACATTATCTACCAATCAGAAGAGCACATGACTTCAGTTTTATACAGAAAGCTCTCCCCCAAATGGGCGGTCCCTGATGATGTATATTTATTTACTGAATTTACCCCTATAAGGGACTTTTTAGTAGCTTTTCCCTCTTTTTTTGTAATAATCATGTAATGTATCCAATTTTCAAGTTCCAGTTTCAATACAACATTCATAAATGCTGAACATGTAAAGATAGAGGAAAATTTATACTACAGCCCATACTGCGGCCAATGTATATTTGGTATATAAAGTTGCATATTGACTGTTTGTAAAAGAATGGTGTAAAATACTATGCTTAATAAATATGAATTGTTTTCTGTGTTTGCTTTGATCAGTATTGCAAGTACATCTAGAAACTAAAGTCTTGATGTACTCTTAGTTAAATTTTGCCTTATATGGAAGTTTTTGATTAAATACCCTGAAAAGACCACAAAATCACTTTTCAAAGGCTTTTTTAAGCAGTTTCATACAAAAAAAACCAACAATTATGTTTCATTTTACTAAATTTGTGTTTTAATTACTTGTAAAGTTCACAAAATGTCATTGACAATCACTCTGCAGAAATTCCTGTTACCCCAACATCAGGATGGTTTCTTCGCCAAAACTAGACAGACAAAACTGAAGTAGAAAAAAGTGCCAAATATGAAAAAATAAGACTGGGTATGACCAAACTTTGCATTTGGAAGATTAAAGTAACAATTTAGAATATCTAAAAGCAATTTTTATACGACCGCAAAAATTGAAAATTTTTTGGTCGTATATTGGTATGACGTTGGCGTCGTCTGGCGTCGTCCGAAGACACATTGGTTTTCGCACTCTAACTTTAGTTTAAGTGAATGGATCTCCATGAAATTTTACCATAAGGTTCAATACCACGAAAGGAAGGTTGGGATTGATTTTGGGGGTTATGGTACCAACAGTTAAGGAATTAGGGGCCAAAAATAAGCATTTTTGTAACTTCCAGACAATAACTTGTGTGTAAGTGTATGGATCTCTCTGACATTGTACCACAAGGTTCCATATCACAACTGGAAGGCTGTAATTGATTTTGGGGGTAATTGCCTCAAAATTTTAGGAATTAGGGGCCAAAAAAGGGGCAAAAAACAAGCATTTTTCTAGTTTCATGACAATAACTTGTGTGTAAGTGTTTGGATATTTCTGAAATTGTACTACAAGGTTCCATATCACAAAGGGAAAGCTGGAATTGAGTTTGTGGGTTAATGCCCGAAACGTTTAGGAATAGGGGGCCATAAAGGGGCCAAAAATAAGCATTTTTCTAGTTTCCAGACAATAACTTGTGTTCAAGTGTATGGATCTCTCTGAAATTGTACTGCAAGGTACCATACCACAAAGGGAAGGCTGGGATTGAGTTTGGGGGTGATGAATCATAAGGGGGTTCAAAAAATTTAGGGGGGGGATTTTTTTTTTTTCTTTTTTTTCTTTTTTTTCTTTTTTTCCTTTTATTTTTTCTTTTAAAATTTTCCATTTTAAGTTGGTTATTTCTGATTAATATTTAAAAGCAAATAATAATGATATGGTAGGAGATACACACCAAACAGGATGTGTAAATTATTATATAATAAGTATTGTGCAATAGCAAGAAATTTTCAATTGCACAGTATTGCACAATTGCAAGAAATCTTCAATTGCACAGTATTGCGCAATAGCAAGAAATCTTCAATTGCACAGTATTGCGCAATAGCAAGAAATATCCAATAGCACAATATTGCGCAATAGCAAGAAATTGTCAATTGTACAGTATTGCACAATAGCAAGAAATATTCAATTGCACAGTATTGTGCAAAAGAAGATACTTCGTATAAATTGCTTATTTCTTGATCAATTTCAATGGGGTTTTATTCTTGAATTCTTGGGGTTCTTTAATATGCTGAATCTAACCAAGTATTAAGTTTTTGGATTTTGGGCCCCGTTTTTAAATTGGTCCACATTGAGGTCCAAAGGGTCCAAAATTTAACATTGTTTGATTTCATCAAAAATTGAATTATTGGGGTTCTTTGATATGCCGAATCTAACCTTGTATTTAGATTCTTAATTTTTGGTTCCGTTTTCAAATTGGTCTACATTAAGGTCAAAAGGGTCCAAAATTAAACTTAGTTTGATTTTAACAAAAATTGAATTTTTAGGGTTCTTTGATATGCTGAATCTAAACATATATTTAGATTTTTGATTATGGGCCCAGTTTTCAAGTTGGTCCAAATCGGGGTCCAAAATTAAACTTTGTTTGATTTCAACAAAAATTGAATATATGGGGTTCTTTGATATGCTGAATCTAACCATGTATTTAGATTTTTGATTTTTGGGCCCCATTATCAACTTTGTCCACATTGAGGTCAAAAGGGTCCAAAATTAAACTTTGTTTGATTTCATCAAAAATTGAATTCTTGGGGTTCTTTGATATGCTGAATCTAACTATGTATTTAGATTTTTTATTTGTGGACCCGCTATCAAATTGGTTCATATTGAGGTCAAAAGGGTCCAAAATTAAACTTTGTTTGATTTCATCAAAAATTGAATTATTGGGGTTCTTTGATATGCCAAATCTAACCGTGTATTTAGATTTTTAATTTAGGGTCCTGTTTTTAAATTGGTCTACATTAAGGTCCAAAGGGTCCAAAATTAAACTTAGTTTGATTTTAACAAAAATTGAATTCTTGGGGTTCTTTGATATGCTGAATCTAAACATGTGTTTAGATTTTTGATTATGAGCCCAGTTTTCAAGTTGGTCCAAGTTGGGGTCCAAAATTAAACTTTGTTTGATTTCAACAAAAATTGAATATATGGGGTTCTTTGATATGCTGAATCTAAACATGTATTTAGATTTTAGATTTTTGGCCCAGTTTTCAAGTTGGTCCAAATTGGGGTCCAAAATTAAACTTTGTTTGATTTCAACAAAAATTGAATATATGGGGTTCTTTGATATGCTGAATCTTACCATGTATTTAGATTTTTTATTTGTGGGCCCGCTATCAAATTGGTTTATATTGAGGTCAAAAGGGTCCAAAATTAAACTTTGTTTGATTTCATCAAAAATTTAATTATTGGGGTTCTTTGATATGCCAAATCTAACTGTGTATTTAGATTTTTAATTTTGGGTCCCGTTTTTTAAATTGGTCTACATTAAGGTCCAAAGGGTCCAAAATTAAACTTAGTTTGATTTTAACAAAAATTGAATTTTTGGGGTTCTTTGATATGCTGAATCTAAACATGTGTTTAGATTTTTGATTATGGGACCAGTTTTCAAGTTGGTCCAAGTTGGGGTCCAAAATTAAACTTTGTTTGATTTCAACAAAAATTGAATATATGGGGTTCTTTGATATGCTGAATCTAAACATGTAGTTAGATTTTAGATTTTTCGGCCCAGTTTTCAAGTTGGTCCAAATTGGGGTCCAAAATTAAACTTTGTTTGATTTCAACAAAAATTGAATATATGGGGTTCTTTGATATGCTGAATCTTACCATGTATTTAGATTTTTTATTTTGTGGGCCCGCTATCAAATTGGTTCATATTGAGGTCAAAAGGGTCCAAAATTAAACTTTGTTTGAATTCATCAAAAATTGAATTATTGGGGTTCTTTGATATGCCAAATCTAACTGTGTTTTTAGATTTTTAATTTTGGGTCCCGTTTTTTAAATTGGTCTACATTAAGGTCCAAAGGGTCCAAAATTAAACTTAGTTTGATTTTAACAAAAATTGAATTCTTGGGGTACTTTGATATGCTGAATCTAAACATGTGTTTAGATTTTTGATCATGGGACCAGTTTTCAAGTTTGTCCAAGTTGGGGTCCAAAATTAAACTTTGTTTGATTTCAACAAAAATTGAATATATGGGGTTCTTTGATATGCTGAATCTAACCATGTATTTTGATTTTGGGCATTGGACCATAATAGGTAAATTAAAAAAATTGAAGTTCTTAGACCACATTCTTTCTGTGTCAGAAACCTATGCTGTGTCAAATATTTAATCACAATCCAAATTCAGAGCTGTATCAAGCTTGAATGTTGTGTCCATACTTGCCCCTTGCATCTTGGATAGCCGAGTTAAACATAGAAATTTGTGTAAAAAACAACTTCAAATGGTTCCAAAATGCTTCCATTACATTAATATACACAGGAAATAAGTTTTGTGATTATTGTGTGGCATTGGACAAGTACAGTGACAGAATGCATATTTTCCTATAGGGGTAAATTCAGTAAAAAATCTCCCATTGACTGTAATGCTAATCTATGTCTTGAATTAAATTTATACCTGATTTACCTTTAGAAATTAGAAAATTTCATATATCATTCATGAAAGTACAAATGTAGCCCTATCATTTGCAACAATAAAAACATAGGGTCATGCGGCATTTTTGGGCATTCACATGGCCTTGTTTACAAACACTGTAGATTCGCACTTAATTCCTTCACTGACCCCCATTACTTTTCAACCCTGTAGTAAAAAAATTTAGTACATTCAGCATTTATTTTTTATTTTTTTTCAACTCTAGTTTTTATCCATCTATCAAAAAATATTAATTACAAACATTATCTACCAATCAGAAGAGCACATGACTTCAGTTTTATACAGAAAGCTCTCCCCCAAATGGGCGGTCCCTGATGACGTATATTTATTTACTGAATTTACCCCTCAAACAACGTGGTTATGACGATTTTTCATTTTCACCTTTTAAAATTTTTTCATCAAATCATATTTGTAAACGTATTTCTGATAATTTAAATCATTTTGACTAAATTAATTAGATGCCGGCAAACCGCTGAAATGTAAGAAAATAACTTTGAATAGATCGATCCGGTTCAAAATAGTTTACCTGTCACCTGAACAGGTAAATTTCAGCTGTTCGACAACTAATTAGCCTTTATTAAAATGAGAAGGTATTAAAGTAGGGGTTGTTTTGATAGTACTTAATGATCATGTCACTTATATGACCGGAAATGTGTGGCTGTTAAAGGCAAAAGGTTGGGTCAAAAAGATCGTGAATTATGTTAAAATGACCGTCTCTTAAGAAAGCCTTGAAAACTAAAAAGTAGATGACTGTTTCATGCTTTTCCCAGCCGGACTTTTACCGGACATTATACAAATGTCCGGCATATATGACCGTTTTGGAAGCCTTGTTTCACGGTAGTTGTTCTTATATTATATTTTATACTAATCAAGATTTTCTCACCTGTTTGCTTAAATTCTTTTAAAAAATATTAATGTAGGGGCACCTACTTGACTTGTTTGTATTACTCTGTCCAGACTTGTAAGCACTCTCAAGCTACATTTCTTGGTCATAAAATTCATTTAGCAAAATATTTTTGGCTGTATTTTATATATTATCCTTGAAGATAAAGGAATTTACAGATATGTTCTAAACTGACCTATATTTTTGGTTGATTTTTATACGACCACAAACAAATTTTTGGGATCGTATACATGTAATGGTATGATGTCGTCGTTGTCGTCGTCGTCTGAAGACACATTGGTTTCCGGACAATAACTTTAGTTTAAGTGAATGGATCTCTATGAAATTTTTAAAGAAGGTTCAATACCACAAAAGGAAGGTTGGGATTGATTTTGGGGATGCTGGTCCCAACCGTATAGGAATTAGGGGCCCAAAAGGGGCCCAAAACAAGCATTTTTGTCGAGCCTTCGACTTTAGTCGAAAAAGCGAGACATAGCGATCCTACATTCCGTCGGCGTTGTTGTCGTCGGCGGCGTCCACAAATATTCACTCTGTGGTTAAAGTTTTTGAAATTTTAATAACTTTCTTAAACTATCCTGGATTTCTACCAAACTTGGACAGAAGCTTGTTTATGATCATAAGATAGTATCCAGAAGTAAATTTTGTGAAAATAAAATTCCATTTTTTCCGTATTTTACTTATAAATGGACTTAGTTTTTCTGCCGGGAAATATTACATTCACTCTGTGGTTAAAGTTTTTAAAATTTTAATAACTTTCTTAAACTATCCTGGGTTTCTACCAAACTTGGACAGATGCTTGTTTATGATCAAAAGCTAGTATCTAGAAGGAAATTTAAAAAAAAAATAAATCCATTTTTTCCGTATTTTACTTTTAAATGGACTTAGATTTTCTGCCAGGAAACAACATATTCACTCTGTGGTTAAAGTTTTTAAAATTTTAATAACTTTCTTATACTATTTTGGATTTGTACCAAACTTGGACAGAAGCTTGTTTATGATCAAATGCTAGTATCTAGAAGGAAATTTTGTTTTCTTCCAGTTAACATTACATTCAGTCTGCAGTTAAAGTTTTTAAACATTTATTAGATTCATAAACTATCCTGGATTTTTACCAAACTTGGACAGAAGCTTCTTACAATCAAAAGTTAGTATCAAGAGGAATATTTTTATTGATTTACTTCCTCATTTTTGTTGAGCCTGCGATAAACAGAAAAAGTAGGCGAGACACTGGGTTCCGCGGAACCCTTACGAATTTTTCTAGTTTCAGGATAATAACTTGTGTATAAGTATTTCGATAGCTCTGAAATTGTACGACAATGTTTAATACCACAAGTAGAAGGTTGGGGGTTATGTGGCAAACAGTTTAGGAATTAAGGGCCAAAAAGGGGCCAAAAACAAGCATTTTTCTAGTTTCCAGACAATAACTTGTGTGTCAGTGTATGGATCTCTCTGACATTGTACCACAAGGTTCCATATCACAAAGGGAAGGCTAGGATTAAGTTTGGGGTTAATTGCCCAAATATGTAGGAATAAGGGGCCTAAAACAAGCATTTTTCTAGTTTCCAGACAATAACTTGTGTTTAAGTGTATGGATCTCTCTGAAATTGTACTAAAAGGTTCCATACTACAAAGGAAAGGCTGGGATCGAGTTTTGGGGTTATTGCTCCAAGGGGGGTTTCAAAAAGTTGGGGGGGGGGGGGGGGGATTTTTTTTTCAATTTTTTTTTAAAGGATTCATATTTTTTTTTTTTAAGTTTCAAGAAGAAATCTTCAATTGCACAGTATTGCGCAATAGATTTGTAAGATCTTTGACCACATTTATTTTGTGTCATAAATCTATATTATGTCAAAAATTTGATCACAATCCAAATTCAGACAGTATCGAGCTTGAATATTGTGTCCAAATTTGTACCAACTGTTCAGGGTTTGACCTCTGCGGTCGTATCAGGCTACGCTCAGCGAAGCATTTTATTTTATGTGACAAACAGCATTAGTTGAACTTGAAGAGTGAAAAGAAATGAAAATGACAATATACATGCAAAACATCCAGTTTTATAAAATTATTAGTTTTATGTATAATTTTTACAGTTGTTAGATGTAGTGTACAGAGAGGAAACTTTGTCTAATGTGATAAAATCAGTGACAAGAAATGGACGTTCCATTGTCTTAACAGCAATATTAGCAGTCATACTTATATACTTATTTTCAATATTGGGATTCCTGTTTTTCCAAGATGATTTTTTAATGGAAATAGAACCAGTTAAAATTGTAGAACACACAGGTAATCTTTACATTTAAATTGATTGATATAGAAAATTATTCTTAAAAATCAGTAATAAGTTAAGTTTTTTGTCCCCATCCATATGACATCACAGAAAGGGGCACCTACTTGCCTTGTTTGCATTCATCCTTCTATCCAGACTTGTAAGCACTCTCAAGCTACATTTCTTGCTAAGATTTGAATGAAATTTATATCAAAGGGCTCTCACATTAACATTTCTTGCATACTTGCCAACTAACCCCATTTTTGCTGGTCATACCCAATAATTTTAGAGCTCACCCAAGATTTTGTATACCTCCCTGGGTCATTAAATAAACCAGGATTTAAGCTTCTGATCAGACAGTTTAGTCTGTTTTCACCTGTATTGCAAGGCATTGAGTCTTTGAATGTCTGAAATGCTAGGGTTCTCTTGATAGTACATGCTAAATTCTTCATGAACAGGAAGTCTTATAATTTGCTCTTAAATGAATGTTTAACAGGTATCAAAAACAATATTTTGTCTTTCCACTGATTGAAAGGTAAATAACAATTCTCTAATTATCTCATTTATTCTACACAATGATAAATGGATGAGTGGTATGCAAAAATCTGTAATCCTGTAGAATATCATTTTAAAATGCTATGAAGCCCATAATACATAACGGGTTAAAAGATCGAGTCACAAAACTGTTTAATTTTTCTTTTATTACAAAAAAGTAAAAGCTATGGGCACAAGTAACTATACAGGAAGTATTAATTGTAAACAACTTCTGGTTCTATTTGATCTTCCTCCTGATTTGTTATTATTGTTCGGGTTTATTATATTAATTCAAAATAGTGAGAATGAAAAAAAAAACATTGATTTAATTTATAATTGGTGAATAATAAATACAATGAAGTTAAGATAGATAGCAGTCTACAGAAGGCCATTTCAACCAATATATATATATATGTCTGCCTATGTGTAGTGACAACTGTAAATTATACCTTGTCAATCGGATTTCAGATCTACTCTAACATTGTTAGGTTGATTTTCTAGACACTTTATTATATATATATAAGATCCATTTTTTACATCTGGTGATCCGTTTATTTGTCAATCGGCAATGGCAGTCAGCAGGGTTTAAGAACATCAGTTGTTCGACCTGCTAGTCAAATGCTTTTTGTTAAAATGTACTTTTTCACTTTTTTGGTCTTTTGGAAAAATGTTGTTTGTGCTGTATTTAGACCCCTCTAACAAGAAATTTGTTTTGCATGCACTCGTATAAAAATTGCTGTTTTTATCCAACGCAATCATAGGTTTGAACGTTGTTTTCATTTTAGACTTGTATATATATACAATATATATATATATGATAATGAAATAAATATCAAACCGCTAACCTCTGAAAGAGAAGGGAAAGCCTTTGGAGCGAGAAAATTAGATTTTTGGCGGTGGTTGTAATAATAAGTTTCCTTCATGGTAATTATAAGTGTTCAGACTTTTGAATCATGTGCTGAAAATAAAAAATATTTAGGAGACACAATTATAGCCACCCTTAATTATTGTGAGTAGTTATTATTTATTCCTTGCATTCAATGATATAAAACTTTTTAGGGTTTGAATTTTTATACGACCGCAAAAAAATTTTTGTGGTCGTATATTGGTATGACGTTGGCGTCGTCGTCCGGCGGTGTCGTCGTCGTCGTCGTCGTCCGGCGTCATCTGAAGACACATTGGTTTTCGCACTCTAACTTTAGTTTAAGTGAATGGATCACTATGAAATTTTACCACAAGGTTCAATACCACAAAAGGAAGGTTGGGATTGATTTTGGGGGTTATGGTACTAACAGTAAAGGAATTAGGGGTCAAAAAGGGGCCAAAAATAAGCATTTTTGTAACTTCCAGACATAACTAGTGTGTTAGTGTATGGATCTCTCTGACATTGTACCACAAGGTTCCATATCGAAAAAGGAATGCTGGGATTGATTTTGGGGGTAATTGCCTCAACATTTTAGGAATTAGGGGCCAAAAAAGGGGCAAAAAACAAGCATTTTTCTAGTTTCATGACAATAACTTGTGTGTAAGTATATGGATCTTTCTGAAATTGTACTACAAGGTTCCATATCACAAAAGGAAAGCTGGAATTAAGTTTGGGGGTAATTGCCGAAACGTTTAGGAATTGGGGGCCAAAAAGGGGCCAAAAATAAGCATTTTTAGCTCACCTGACCTGAAAGGTCAAGTGAGCTTTTCTCATCACTTGGCGTCCGTCGTCCGTAAACTTTTACAAAAATCTTCTCCTCTGAAACTACTGGGCCAAATTTGACCAAACTTGGCCACAATCATCATTAGGGTATCTAGTTTAAAAAATGTGTCCGGTGACCGGGCCAACCAACCAAGATGGCCGCCATGGCTAAAAATAGAACATAGGGGTAAAATGTAGATTTTGGCTTATATCTCTGAAACCAAAGCATTTAGAGCAAATCTGACATGGGGTAAAATTGTTTATCAGGTCAAGATCTATCTGCCCTGAAATTTTCAGATGAATCAGACAACCCGTTGTTGGGTTGCTGCCCCTGAATTGGTAATTTAAGGAAATTTTGCTGTTTTTGGTTATTATCTTGAATATTATTATAGATAGAGATAAACTGTAAACAGCAATAATGTTCAGCAAAGTAAGATCTACAAATAAGTCAACTTGACCAAAATGGTCAGTTGACCCCTTAAGGATTTATTGCCCTTTATAGTAAATTTTTAACCATTTTTCGTAAATTTTTGTAATCTTTTACAAAAATCTTCTCCTCTGAAACTACTAAAACAAATTTAACCAAACTTGTCCACAATCATCATTAGGGTATCTAGTTTAAAAAATGTGTCTGATGACCCTGCCCTCGAACCAAGATGGCCGACATGGCTAAAAAATAGTACATAGGGTAAAATGCGGTTTTTGGCTCATATCTCTGAAACCAAAGCATTAAGAGCAAATCTGATGAGGATAAAATTGTTCATAAGGTCAAGATCTATCTGCCCTGAAATTTTCAGACCAATCAGGCAACCCGTTGTTGGGTTGCTGCCCCTGAATTGGTAATTTTAAGGAAATTTTGCCGTTTTTGGTTATTATCTTGAATATTATTATAGATAAAGATAAACTGTAAACAACAATAATGTTCAGCAAAGTAAGATCTACAAATAAGTCAACATGACCAAAATGGTCAGTTGACCCCTTAAGGAGTTATTGCCCTTTATAGTCAATTTTTAACCATTTTTCGTAAATTTTTGTAATTTTTTACAAAAATCTTCTCCTCTGAAACTACTAAGACACATTTAACCAAACTTGTCCACAACCATCATTAGGGTATCTAGTTTAAAAAATGTGTCCGATGACCCCGCCCGCGAACCAAGATGGCCGACATGGCTAAAAAATAATACATAGGGTAAAATGCAGTTTTTTGCTCATATCTCTGAAACCAAAGCATTTAGAGCAAATCTGATGAGGATAAAATTGTTCATTAGGTCAAGATCTATCTGCCCTGAAATTTTCGGACCAATCAGGCAACACGTTGTTGGGTTGCTGCCCCTGAATTAGTAATTTTAAGAAAATTTTGCAGCTTTTGGTTATTATCTTGAATATTATTATAGATAGAGATAAACTGTAAACGGCAATAATGTACAGCAAAGTTAGATCTACAAATAAGTCAACATGACCAAAATTGTCAATTGACCCTTTAAGGAGTTATTGCCCTTTATAGTCAATTTTTTACAATTTTCATAAATTTTGTAAATTTTTGTAAATTTTTACAAAATATTTTCCACTGTAACTACCGGGCCAAGTTCATTATAGATAGAGTTAATAGAAAGGAGCAAGAATGTTCAGTAAAGTAAGATCTACAAACACATCACCATCACCAAAACACAATTTTGTCATGAATCCATCTGTGTCCTTTGTTTAATATGCACATAGACCAAGGTGAGCGTAAGTGTAAGGATCTTTCTGAAATTGTACTGCAAGGTTCCATATCACAAAGGGAAAGCTGGAATTGAGTTTGGGGGTAATTGTTGAAACGTTTAGGAATTGGGGGCCAAAAAGGGGCCAAAAATAAGCATTTTTCTAGTTTCAGGACAATAACTTGTGTGTAAGTGTATGGATCTTTCTGAAATTGTACTGCAAGGTTCCATATCACAAAGGGAAAGCTGGGTTTGAGTTTGGGGGTAATTGCTCTAAATGTTTAGGAATTTGGTGCCAAAAAGGGCCCAAAAAACACATTTTTCTAAATTCCAGACAATAACTTGTGTTCAAGTGTATGGATCTCTCTGAAATTGTACTGCAAGGTACCATACCACAAAGGGAAGGCTGGGATTGAGTTTGGGGGTGATGAATCATAAGGGGGTTCAAAAAATTTGGGGGGGGGGGATTTTTTTTTTTTCCTTTTTTTTCTTTTTTTCCTTTTTTTTTTCTTTTAAAATTTTCCTTTAAAGTTGGTTATTTCTGATTTATATTTAAAAGCAAATAATAATAATATGGTAGGAGATACACACCAAACAGGATGTGTAAATTATTATATAGTAAGTATTGTGCAATAGCAAGAAATTTTCAATTGCACAGTATTGCACAATAGCAAGAAATCTTCAATTGCACAGTATTGCGCAATAGCAAGAAATTTTCAATTGCACAGTATTGCGCAATAGCGAGAAATATTCAATAGCACAATATTGCGCAATAGCAAGAAATTGTCAATTGTACAGTATTGCGCAATAGCAAGAAATATTTAATTGCACAGTATTGTGCAAAAGAACTTCGTATAATTGCTTATTTCTTGACCAATTTCAATGGGGTTTTATTCTTGAATTCTTGGGGTTCTATAATATGCTGAATCTAACCGTGTATTTAGTTTTTGGATTTTGGGCCCCGTTTTTAAATTGGTCCACATTGAGGTCCAAAGGGTCCAAAATTAAACTTTGTTTGATTTCATCAAAAATTGAATTATTGGGGTTCTTTGATATGCTGAATCTAACCGTGTATTTAGATTCTTAATTTTTGGTTCCATTTTCAAATTGGTCTACATTAAGGTCCAAAGGGTCCAAAATTAAACTTAGTTTGATTTTAACAAAAATTGAATTTTTAGGGTTCTTTGATATGCTGAATCTAAACATGTGTTTAGATTTTTGATTATGGGCCCAGTTTTCAAGTTGGTCCAAATCGGGGTCCAAAATTAAACTTTGTTTGATTTCAACAAAAATTGAATATATGGGGTTGTTTGATATGCTGAATCTAACCATGTATTTAGATTTTTGATTTTTGGGCCCCGTTATCAACTTTGTCCACATTGAGGTCAAAAGGGTCCAAAATTAAACTTTGTTTGATTTCATCAAAAATTGAATTCTTGGGGTTCTTTGATATGCTGAATCTAACCATGTATTTAGATTTTGGATATTGGACCATGATAGGTGAATGTCCAATTTAAAATTTTTAAGTTCTTAGACCACATTCATTCTGTGTCAGAAACCTATGCTGTGTCAAATATTTAATCACAATCCATATGCAAAGCTGTATCAAGCTTGAATGTTGTGTCCATACTTGGCCCAACTGTTCAGGGTTCGACCTCTGCGGTCGTATCAAGCTGCGCCCTGCGGAGCATTTTATTCTAAATTATAATAAAGTTTTTGATCATCTTAATTTATATCTGTATCATGGTTTCAAATATTTCCAAAAAGGCATTGGACCAACAGTTTGTAAGTATTTTTGTTTATGACTGAATATGCTTCAAGTAACCAGTCTGGAAAAAAACAAAATTCAAAAAACATTATTAAATACACCAATTATAATAATTATTTCCATGTATTTTACCATTGTTCATGGTAGTGGGTTATATTTTTTGTCCCCCGCATAACGCGTTACGTGGGGATATCGAAATACCGGGCATCTGTCCGGTCTTTTTAGCGCTCTATCATGTACAATTCTTGGCAGATTTTTATAAAACTTATATTATAGGTTTATATCAGCAATGTCTTGAACGAGTTCGAAAATCAGTGCTGATCAATTATTTTTAAAAGAGTTATGCCCCTTGGAAACATTAATTATGTGCAAAATTGCATCCTTAGTGCTCTTATGTGTACAATTCTTGACAGATTTTTATGAAACTTATATTGTAGGTTTATATCAGCGATGTCTTGGACAAGTTCGAAAATCTGTGCCAATCAATTATTTTGAAAAGAGTTATGCCCCTTGGAAATATTAATTATATGCAAAATTGCTTTGTGAGTGCTCTCATATGTACAATTCTTGCCAGATTTTTAGAAAATTTATATTTTATCATCAATGTCTTGGATGAGTTCGAAAATCTGTGCCAATCAATTATTTTTTAAAAGAGTTATGCCCTTGGAAATATTAATTATGGAAAATTGAATCGTTAGTGCTCTCGTGTACAATTCTTGCCAGAATTTTATGAAACTTATATCATAGGTTTATATCAGCAATGTCTTTGACAAATTCAAAATAATTGCTGATCAAATATTTTTAAGGGGAAATATTTATTATATCGGAAATCACATTGAATTTGCTCTCAATCATTCATTTCTCTTAAGATATTTATGAACAATTTTTAAGGACAAAAAAAAAGTGTATTTTTTATACGACCGCAAAAAAATTTTCCGGTCGTATATTGGTATGACGTTGGCGTCGTCGTCGTCCGAAGACACATTGTTATCGCACTCTAACTTTAGTTTAAGTGAATGGATCTCTATGAAATTTTACCATAAGGTTCAATACCACAAAAGGAAGGTTGGGATTGATTTTGGGGGTTATGGTACCAACAGTTAAGGAATTAGGGGCCAAAAATTAGCATTTTTGTAACTTCTAGACATAACTTGTGTGTTAGTGTATGGATCTCTCTGACATTGAACCACAAGGTTCCATATCACAAAGGGAATGCTGGGATTGATTTTGGGGGTAATTGGCTCAAAATTTTAGGAATTAGGGGCAAAAAAAGGGGCATGATTCATGATAATAACTTGTGTGTAAGTGTATGGATCTTTCTGAAATTGTACTACAAGGTTCCATATCACAAAGGGAAAGCTGGAATTGAGTTTGGGGGTAATTGCCCAAAACGTTTAGCAATAAGGGGCCAAAAATAAGCATTTTTCTAGTTTCCAGACAATAACTTGTGTTCAAGTGTATGGATCTCTCTGAAATAGTACTGCAAGGTACCATACCACAAAGGGAAGGCTGGGATTGATTTTAGGGGTAATTGCCTCAAAATTTTAGGAAATAGGGGCCAAAAAGGGGAAAAAAACAAGCATTTTTCTAGTTTCAGGACAATAACTTGTGTGTAAGTGTATGGATCTTTATGAAATTGTACTACAAGGTTCAATATCACAAAGGGAAAGCTGGGTTTGAGTTTGGGGGTTATTGCCCTAAAAATTTAGGAATTTGGGGCCAAAAGGGGCCTAAAAACAAGCATTTTTATACGACCGCAAAACATTTTTTGTGGTCGTATATTGGTATGACGTTGGCGTCGTCGTCGTCGTCCGGCGTCGTCCGAAGACACATTGGTTTTCGCACTCTAACTTTAGTTTAAGTGAATGGATCACTATGAAATTTTACCACAAGGTTCAATACCACAAAAGGAAGGTTGGGATTGATTTTGGGGGTTATGGTACCAACAGTAAAGGAATTAGGGGCCAAAAATAAGCATTTTTGTAACTTCCAGACATAACTTGTGTGTTAGTGTATGGATCTCTCTGACATTGTACCACAAGGTTCCATATCACAAAAGGAATGCTGGGATTGATTTTGGGGGTAATTGCCTAAAAATATTAGGAATTAGGGGCAAAAAAAGGGGCAAAAAAACAAGCATTTTTCTAGTTTCATGACAATAACTTGTGTGTAAGTGTATGAATCTTTCTGAAATTGTACTACAAGGTTCCATATCACAAAGGAAAAGCTGGAATTGAGTTTGGGGGTAATTGCTGAAATGTTTTGGAATTGGGGGCCAAAAAAGGGCCAAAAATAAGCATTTTTCTAGTTTCCAGACAATAACTTGTGTTCAAGTGTATGGATCTCTCTGAAATTGTACTGCAAGGTACCATACCACAAAGGGAAGGCTGGGATTGATGATGGGGGTAATTGCCTCAATATTTCAGGAATTAGGGGCCAAAAAGGGGCAAAAAACAAGCATTTTTCTAGTTTCAGGACAATAACTTGTGTGTAAGTGTATGGATCTTTCTGATGTTGTACTACAAGGTTCCATATCACAAAGGGAAAGCTGGGTTTGAGTTTGGGGGTAATTGCCCTAATTGTTTAGGAATTTGGGGCCAAAAAACACATTTTTCTAGTTTCCAGACAATAACTTGTGTTCAAGTGTATGGATCTCTCTGAAATTGTACTGCAAGGTACCATACCACAAAGGGAAGGCTGGGATTGAGTTTGGGGGTGATGAATCATAAGGGGGTTCAAAAAATTTTGGAGGGGATTTTTTTTTTTTCCTTTTTTTTTTCTTTTAAAATTTTCCATTTTAAGTTGGTTATTTCTGATTTATATTTAAAAGCAAATAATAATGATATGGTAGGAGATACACACCAAACAGGATATGTAAATTATTATATAATAAGTATTGTGCAATACAAGAAATTTTCAATTGCACAGTATTGCACAATAGCAAGAAATCTTCAATTGCACAGTATTGCGCAATAGCAAGAAATCTTCAATTGCACAGTATTGCACAATAGCAAGAAATATCCAATAGCACAATATTGCGCAATAGCAAGAAATTGTCAATTGTACAGTATTGCGCAATAGCAAGAAATATTTAATTGCACAGTATTGTGCAAAAGAAGATACTTCGTATAAATTGCTTATTTCTTGACCAATTTCAATGGGGTTTTATTCTTGAATTCTTGGGGTTCTTTAATATGCTGAATCTAACCGTGTATTTAGTTTTTGGATTTTGGGCCCCGTTTTTAAATTGGTCCACATTGAGGTCCAAAGGGTCCAAAATTAAACTTTGTTTGATTTCATCAAAAATTGAATTATTGGTGTTCTTTGATATGCCGAATCTAACCGTGTATTTAGATTCTTAATTTTTGGTTCCGTTTTCAAATTGGTCTACATTAAGATCCAAAGGGTCCAAAATTAAACTTAGTTTGATTTTAACAGAAATTGAATTCTTAGGGTTCTTTGATATGCTGAATCTAAACATGTATTTAGATTTTTGATTATGGGCCCAGTTTTCAAGTTGGTCCAAATTGGGGTCCAAAATAAAACTTTGTTTGATTTCAACAAAAATTGAATATATGGGGTTCTTTGATATGCTGAATCTAACCATGTATTTAGATTTTTGATTTTTGGGCCCCGTTATCAACTTTGTCCACATTGAGGTCAAAAGGGTCCAAAATGAAACTTTGTTTGATTTCATCAAAAATTGAATTATTGGTGTTCTTTGATATGCCGAATCTAACCGTGTATTTAGATTCTTAATTTTTGGTTCCGTTTTCAAATTGGTCTACATTAAGGTCCAAAGGGTCCAAAATTAAACTTAGTTTGATTTTAACAGAAATTGAATTCTTAGGGTTCTTTGATATGCTGAATCTAAACATGTATTTAGATTTTTGATTATGGGCCCAGTTTTCAAGTTGGTCCAAATCGGGGTCCAAAATTAAACTTTGTTTGATTTCAACAAAAATTGAATATATGGGGTTCTTTGATATGCTGAATCTAACCATGTATTTAGATTTTTGATTTTTGGGCCCCGTTATCAACTTTGTTCACATTGAGGTCAAAAGAGTCCAAAATTAAACTTTGTTTGATTTCATCAAAAATTGAATTCTTGGGGTTCTTTGATATGCTGAATCTAACCATGTATTTAGATTTTGGATATTGGACCATAATAAGTGAATGTCCAATTTAAAATTTTTAAGTCCTTAGACCACATTCATTCTGTGTCAGAAACCTATGCTGTGTCAAATATTTGATCACAATCCAAATGCAAAGCTGTATCAAGCTTGAATGTTGTGTCCATACTTGCCCCAACTGTTCAGGGTACGACCTCTGCGGTCGTATCAAGCTGCGCCCTGCGGAGCATTTTATTCTAGTTTCCAGACAATAACTTGTGTTCAAGTGTATAGATCTCTCTGAAATTGTACTGCAAGGTACTATACCACAAAGGGAAGGCTGGGATTGAGTTTGGGGGTGATGAATCATAAGGGGGTTCAAAAAATTTGAGGGAGGGATTTTTTTTTCCTTTTTCCCTTTTTTTTTTGAAATTTTCCATTTTAAATTGGTTATTTCTGATTTATATATAATAGCAAATAATAATGATATGGTTTGAATAGGTAAATTAAAAAATTTTAAGTTCTTAGACCACATTCATTCTGTGTCAGAAACCTATGCTGTGTCAAATATTTAATCACAATCCAAATTCAGTGCTGTATCAAGCTTGAATGTTGTTTCCATACTTGCCCCAACTGTTCAGGGTTCGACCTCTGCGGTCGTATCAAGCTGCAGCCAGCAGAGCATTTTATTAGTTATTGCCCTTGTACCTTGGATAGATAAAATATGTGCAATGCGGGGGACATTGGAACTCTGTTCTTTTATTATTGGTAGATAGATGTCAAATAGATATAAGAAGATGTGGTATGAGTGCCAATGAGACAACTCTCCATCCAAGTCAAAATTTATAAAAGTAAACCATTATAGGTCAAAGTACGGTCTTTAAATGTCTATTTTAAGTATAAGGAGAAGAAGTGAATAAATAAATAGATACTTTAAACAAGGCAGACGATTGATAGTTAACCTCAATTGTTGAAATTGAAAAACAAACAAACTTAATAAGTCTCATATTATCAATTTTTTTCCAGATGGTAACAATTTTTTAAGCAATATAGTCTGATAGATTAATATCTAATGCATTTTGTAAAAAAACTGGATCACTACAAAATTTTCACCACAAATACTTAGCTTTCTTATATTCTTGAACACAAAGTTGTACTGCATACATATATACTTTGAACTAATTTATTGGCAAGAGTTTCTCACGTTTTATTGATCAGGGTTACTAGGCATGTCTGGGTTGGGGGCTGTTCTGTACACAACCTAACAACACATTTGAAAATTAAGAGCATTAGTAAAAGCATTGTTCTTACTTTTCTTTTATTTTATATAATTTTGTCTTTTATTTTATATAATTTTGAGACATAGTCATTTTTGTCGAGCCTACAACATTTATGTCGCAAAAGCGAGACATAGTGATCCTAGATTCCAGCGGCTGCGGCGTCAACATTTAGGTTCAGTCTGTGGTTAAAGTTTTTTTAGACCTCAATAATTTTATCAAACCTTCGTAGAATTTTATGAAATTTGGACAGAAGCTTGTTTATGACCAAAATACAGTATCCAGAGCAAAATTTTGAAAATATTTATTTTCATTTTTCTGTATTTTACTGATAAATGGACTTAGTTTTTTTTTTACAGGTAACAAGTAGATACAGTCTAGGGTTAGAGTTTGTTACACATCAATTACTTTGTCAAACCTTCATAGAATTTTATGAAACTTTGGCAGAAGCTTTTTTATGATTAAGAGATAATGTCTGAAGCAAACTTTTGAAAATATATTTTGATTTTCAGTATTTTTCTGATAGATGGACTTAGTTTTTTACAGTTAACATTTACAGACAGTCTGGGATTAATTTTTTTTTTGACATGATAAATTTGTAAACCTTCATGCATTGTTATGAAACTTGGACAGAAGCTTATCTTCAAGACCCAAGAAATAGCATCTAAAGAAAAAGTTTGAATTTTTTTTTCAATACTGTATTTTACTGATAAATGGACTCACTTTTTAAGTCAACATTACACTTTTACACTGACAGCAGCAATCGTAGGCGAGACACAGGTTTCCGTGGAACACCTTAGGAATTTTGTTTATTTGATCATTGCTTTGAAAAAATAATATTTTTACATGTATTAAGATTTTTTTATCTTCTGCCACATTGTAGATATTACTTACTTTCCTGAAATTAACGCTTTTTTAGTTGCAAAAAACTTCAAAATTGTTTCCCTGCTAAGCTTAGATTAAATAAAATTTCAAAGATTTTGTTCATGGCAAGACTTTGTCAGAAAATAATAAATATTTTCATATACCAATAGTCCATAGAGTTACGGTTAAATTTCAGGACTAGTTCTGTTTAAAAGGCTACTTTAAAGATTTAGACTCTTCCTAGAAGATAGAATCAAAGAGAAAGTTGAAAACATCATACATCTGCAGCATTCGTTTCATTCCGCAAATAAAATTTGTATCTTATTTTTCCTTATCTTTGTTAGATGTGAAAGTTCTGTCTATTCTGTCTCGTTTTTATCATGGTGTTTTTTTACTTATATGTATGTCTATTTGTAATTATTATATGTAACATGCCCTTTATGGGCTGATAATTGGTTTAATAAAGTATTCGTATTCGTATACCTGGTGATCTATTCTGACTCCTTTGAGCCATTAGTTTCTGTAAGGAATTTTTACTTCTTTAGATTCAAAACTATTTATAAATCAGCAGATGGCAAAGAAAACAATGCCTTTTTAGATTAAGTCTATATTATATTACACCATATCAGTATATATATTTATTTTCTTTTTTCAAATAGTACAAACAGCAGCTGAGAGTTGTTCAGCAGATGCAAACTGTACAGAATCAGAAACAGTTCAAACCACAGTACACGGTATTTGTACTTTTCTATCGTAATCTAATCATGTCAGGCATTTTTGTTGAGCCTGCGACTTTTGTTTATGATCATAAGATAGTATCCAGAAGTAAATTTTGTAAAATAAAAAATCCTGTTTTTCCATATTTTACTTATAAATTGACTTAATTTTTCTGCCAGTTAACATTACATTCACTCTGTGGTTAAAGTTTTTAAAATTTTAATAACTTTCTAATAATATCCTAGATTTCTACCAAACTTGGACAGAAGCTTGTTTATGATCATAAGATAGTATCCAGAAGTAAATTTTGTAAAAAAAAAATCCTATTTATCCGTATATTACTTTTAAATGGACTTAGTTTTTCTGCCAGTTAACATTACATTCACTCTGTGGTTAAAGTTTTAAAAATTTTAATAGCTTTCTTAAACTATCCTGGATTTGTACCAAACTTGGACAGAAGCTTGTTTATGATCAAAAGCTAGTATCTAGAAGGAAATTTTGTAAAAATGTATTTCCTGTTTTACTGTATATAACTTAAAAATGGACTTAGTTTTTCTTCCAGTTAAAATTACATACAGTCTGTAGTTAAAGTTTTTAAAACATTTATTAGATTTATAAACCATTCTGGATTTTTACCAAACTTGGACGGAAGCTTCTTACAATCAAAAGATAGTATCTATAGGAAAATTTATAATAATTTTTTCCCCATTTTTGTTGAGCCTGTGACTAGCAGCAATTGTAGGCGAGACACTGGGTTCCGCGGAAACCTTACATATTTTTAATCTGCACCTTGTAAGCTCCTTAAAAAAAATGTATATGTTGTAATATAATAAATGTATTTTACACATTTTGAATAAATATCATTCCATTTTGCAGAGCCTTAATGGCAGAGTGGTCTAAGTAGTTTGTCTACAGTATCACAAGCCTGTCAACTCTGAGGTTGTCAGGCAGGTGCATTCAACTCCAATCTTTATTGACTAGGATTTTGAATTTTCCTGATGAAGGTCTTGGTTCTCTCCTGACACTCCTGCATCCTCCACCAATAAAAACTGGCGGCCACAATATAACCATGAGTGTTGAAATTGACATTAAACAATCATCAATCTACAAATGGGTGTCAAATATATATCATGATACTGAGCTGAGCTTTTCTCATCACTTGGTATCTGTCCTCTGTCATCCTTCTTCTGTTAACTTTTACAAATATCTTCTTTGAAACTACATGGAGCCTCTAGTTTTCCAAATAAGTAGCGAAAACTGTAACAGTTCTATTCCTTGGTTTTATATTGTTTGTTATATGGCCTGGGGATACAGTTATTGTCCTTTGATTTTCATCATGTATGAAAATAGTGTGGACAGTGTCTGCTTGAAAAAAATTTACATACACCTTCCAAATTTATTTCTTATATTTGATGTGAAAAAAAGTAAGGAGGGGGAAGAAATTACATGTAAAAAATATTTGGGTCATGAATTTTAAGGTAAAGTTGTGATTTGGTTTAGTCGAAAAAGGTAAAAAAAAAGTCTGAAGCTGTCAAACGGACTGATGGACCCCTTAACATAAAATTGTCCATATTTTGAGTAAGAGTCGTTCGACTTTTCTTTAGTTTTGATATAATTTGTCCCAAAAGTAGTAGACCACTCTGTAAAAATATTATTGAGAAAGAGCAGGTGCAATTTTTTAAACTTGCATTTATTGTTCTTAAGAAATGTACTACAAAATAACTGTGTTCTTGAGACATCTGTTATGCATTAAGTTTTGGTGGTAAATTGGAGTAAATAATTGTGAGTTATTATTTTACAAAACATCTTGTGCGTATCACAATACATGTATCTATATTTGATGAGAAGTGAGTGCTTTAATAAGATTAAAATGCATTTAAAACAAGTTTTTAATTTGAAGCTGTAGCAGAAAAAGATGATCCAGTGCAAAGAAGGGTGTGTGAGTCTTTGATTATGTGTATTATCACTGCTGTCAACGAAGGTCTCAGAAATGGTGGGGGCATTGGTGATGTTCTTAGAAAACCTGATATCAAGGTAAGATATATAAAAAAAATAATCATTTTTTTAATGAATAAAGAAAACATTCTAAAATTAGCATCGTTTTACCAAAATTATTCAAAGCAGATTGTTATTTTCTTGGTTCAGGTATTTTAAGCTGAAGCATTGTTTTCATGGCAAAGTGGGATTTATGATAAGACCTATTATTTGTCTTGTAGAGTAAAATATTATATTTAATTTGTCTCGCTTTAGAATGCAAGACATTATAGGAATTACAATCAGGTGGCAGCGTAATATATTTGTATTTAGATTTATATTTCAGAGGGTAGTAGACCTAGAGGTTTTATACCTTATTTACAGATGCCTTATGTTACGAAGTTTCTGTCTGTCATATGTCCCTTGTCCTTGACCTCAAGTTCATGGTTAAGCAACTGCTTGGAAAAAAAAATTTTCTTACTTATTATATGAACGCAAAAAATTTTGCGGTTGTATATTGGTATCACGTCGTCGTCAGCGTCGTGCGAAGACATTTGGTTTTCTGGACAATTACTTTAGTAAATGTAAATAGAAATCTAAGAAATTTAAACACAAGGTTTATAACCACAAAAGGAAGGTTGGGATTGATATTTGGGGTTATAGTCCTAACAGTATAGGAATTGGGGGCCAAAAAGGGCCCAAAATAAGCATTTTTCTAGTTTCCAGACAATAACTTGTGGAACGGTGTATGGATCTCTCTGAAATTATACCACAAGTTTCCATACCACAAAGGGATGGTTAGGATTGGCTTTGGGGGGTTATGGCTCAAACCGTTTAGGAATTAGGGGCAAACAAGGGTTTCGAGGTTAATGGACAATTAAAAAAAAAGTACAATGTTATGTTTGGATTACCTCCCTTACACTGCATTTAAATTATGTATAAAGAAATGTTGTATTGTCTTGAGGTGATTAGCTGTAAATTTATTTTTAGAAGTTACTATTTAAAAATGCTGATTAAGGAATATAAATTTTAGCCATGATTATGTATGTCATTTTCTATTTTAAGACTTTTATGATGTATTTAAATGGGTAATTATGGTTGCAAACTCCATTGGAAATTTGAATTGAGATTATGACCATACCGTGAGGGAAAGAAATTTTTTTTGGGAAAAAGGAGGGGGTGGGGGGAGAGGTGAAAAAAAAATTGGGGGGGGGGGGTAAAAAAAGAAATTGTGAGGGGGGGACAATTTTTTATCATTTCAGATTTCAAAAATTAAAAAGAAAATTTCTTCAAATATTTTTTTTTTTTGCAAAAAAAAAAGGGGGGGGGGTCAATTTGCAACAGCATAGTGTATTGCACAAAAGCAAAAAATTGAATATAAATACAAATCATAAAACCAATTCTAAGTTCTTTGACTACAGTTATTCTGTGTCAGAAACCTATTATGTGTCAAATATTTAATTAAATCCAAATTCAGACCTGTATCAAGCGCGAATATTGTGTTCATTTTTGCCCCAACTGTTCAGGGTTGGACCTCTGCAGTCGTATCCAACTGTGCTCGGCTAAGCAATTTATTTTTAGTAATAGGATAAATATATTTGGTATATGGGTTCCTTGCAAGGTCAGTCAGACAGGGTTCACCCGACACCTCATATCATGGATCAGTGATCAAGGTTTAAGTTACATGATTAGTCCCCATACAGGGCCTCCAAAAAATGTTTGAGCCAGCCGGACATTTTTTGTCTTATCCCGATTTCATGCCCTTAAGACTTAGTAACAAAAGGCAAGCATTTTAATCAGTTGGGCATCATATAAACAATGATTGACACAAAAACTATTTTAAACTTGACTTTTGATATAAATTCGATGTTTTGACGTAAACTGTTCAATTGACGGTGCATCAAAGTGTGCAATATCAGCATACTAATATCTGCCTTAGACTCTTTATTTGTGGAAAATTATGCTGTCAAAAACTACGCTTTCGATTTAAAAAAACACATTATTCTAATACCAGATGTTGACTTGACAATGGTAAAACATGGACCAGAGACGGATATGTAAAATCTGTGTACGTTTACAAAGCATGATTGAGTTTAAGTAGCTCTTTCCACGTTATTTCTTCAGGAAAATACTCGAAATGAACGTAAGATAAAGGTATCAATAATAATTTTAGCATTTTTGAAAAATTCGGATGCATAATTAAACCTCACACCTGTGCACATGCGCACACGTGTACTAGTTCAAACAACGTGGTTCTGATGATTTTTCTCTTACAACCTTTATTACTAGCTTTTTTATTTTTTCATCAAATCATGTTCATATACATATTTCTGATAATCAGTCAGGGGACTTTTTGAAATAAGTGATTTTAAGTTTTGTCACAAATTGTGATTTTGTAGTTTTACCAAAATTTTAAACACATAGGTTTAGATAATATCTTTTCATTAGTAAAATTGAAAAAAATGAACTTTTTGCTTCTTTTAAGCAGCAAGGTTTATGCCTTTGATGCAATCATTTAGCTGCAAATTCTATTTTAGTTGAAAAAATGCTATAAAAATGGCTTTACATAATGAACTGATACTTTCTAAACAGATTTTTCCCAGCAGTGGGAGTATTTATCCTGTAAAGTTCAAGGTTTCATCTTATAGATTATGTAATAAAATTCTACTGTTCGCGATCAAAATTTCACTGTTCGAGGGTATTGAAATTAGTGGGGGTTATTAAAATAATGATACTTAAAGAAGTGATTTTTTGGAAGGAAATTGAGGTATGATACTTAAACAAGTGATTTTTATGTCATTATCCTAGATTTAGTACAAGGTCATCACATGACATGACCCGGTCATCCTATCAACACAGATGTTGGTTCTGATAATTTTAGCAACATAATTAGTCCCTGGATCATTAGTATTCTATATTTAAAGCTACAATAAAGTTAAATCACTTAGTCTAGTGATTAATTTGTACAACTTAAATAGGTGATTATTAAAGAAAGACAACTCTTACTTCCAACCTTTATGGACATAATGTTACTTGAATCAGTGATTTAGAAAATCACTCATTTAAGTAAGTCCCCTGACTGATAATCTAAATCTTTTTGACTAAATCGATTACAAGCTAACTGCTGTAATTTAAATAAATAGACCAGTACAAAATAGTTTACCTGTTGCGTGTAAATTATGATCTTATCGTTTTAAATACTTTTTTCTGATAGTCTCAATCTGTTTTGCTAAAAAGTAGTTAGATTTAGACCAGGAATGTTTTTAATTTAAATAAAAAAATAACTTCCAAAAAGATCGATCAATGTCCGGCTCAAATAGTTTACCTGACACAGGTGATCACATGTAAATCTCAAGGCACAAGGTCAAGTCAGAATGGTTGATTTTTCAGAATCACACGAACGTTGAAATGGCAAACCTACGTAGGATGTCTGTTTCATGCTTGGCCCAGTCGTACAATGTCCGATAAATTTATATTTGTATGGCAAATATGACTGTTTTGGAAGCCTTGTTCCCATGCTGTAATCAGAAGGTCAACTATATTTTTCGTGTGGAATTAATGTAAACTTTAAAAGGGTACAGGTCAGTATTGCAGGTTTCGTTTGACCTAAACCTTACATTAAAGGTTAACACTTTTCTTACTGAATTGTTTTTTTCCGCGACTTTGTGTGGCCTGTTCGAATTTCCGCGCGCAGTTTGCCTGGCCTGAATTAATTTGACGTGTAAATGGAGAAAAATTGACGTTTTACATAAAAACGTTTGTATCTTTGTTGTTTCTCATCAAATCGGTTTCAAACTCAATATTGTCACAATTAAGTATGTAAGGATCGTTGCAAAATAAATAATTTTACATGACAATACCTACTTTTGATAATTTTAACCTTTTGTGGAAGGAAAATGACGTTTGATTTGCGAAATCATTTTTGTTTTGTGAAGGGTTTATATTTTTGCCTTTCATCTGCTAAATCAACACTACAAACGGTACTTAACAATTTCGAGTGTTCCTTTAACAAAGTTTTATGGAAAAAATAACTCCACAGTCAAAATTTTAACTCATTAGTCTGAATAAACACGATTGAAAATGGTCTGTCAAATTCCGAGGCGGCCATTTTTGTACTTGTAATGCAATCACTTGATAGGAAGTTGTGTCCCTGGATAAGTTGGAGTTGTCTTTCTTAGTCCAATATTTTTTTGTATTTTTGCATGGATTTAGATATAAATTGACCATTGGGATCTTTTGTGGATTTTATTTTTATTTTAGTGGAGATATCTAATGATATTTTTTCTGGTAAAATTAACACTTTTGAGATTCATATGTGCTTTTTTAAATGAATGTGCATATATATTTTTTCTGTTTTTTTTTTTGTAACAGACCACTGCATGGAGATATTATTCAAACGTTAGCTGATCTGACACACTAATACATAAACATTTAACACTTCAATAATCTTGATAAATTAAGTGAGACATAGTTAACTCTTTTAAGACAATCATGAACTTACTATGATTTATTAAATAATTATCTTTGTCAGTGTCCATGGGATGCTAGAATTTCCACTGTCTTTGGTTGTGTATTGTTCAATGATGAAAATAATTTAATGCTCCTTAAAATTTGTTGATTCAAAAACTAATAAATTAAACTGTCAACTGTAACAACAATTATAAATTATGAATATCCTTTCAACAAATTATGAATATCCTTTCAACAAATTTTGAATATCCTTTCAACAAATTTTGAATATCTTTTCAACAAATCATGTACTCCTTTCAACTTCAATTGTAACCAAGTAAGTGTCAATTAAGAAGTGTAATTTTTGCGTGAATGGAAGACTGTGAAGCAATGTGGCAGGCAAAGGTGTTTGCTACATTCAACACAACCATATTTTGTCTGACACCTTTTTTCCTGTGTACCATTAGCTATCCTAGCCCAGCATACGTGACACCATGTCTTGTTCCCCAAGTCTGCTGGCAAATGCCTGTGTGTCAATCTGATTTCTACTGGTAGGTTTGATGGCCTGCCCCGACGGTTGTCCCTAGTATACCCTGCGATAAGCTTAGTAG